ACAGTCTCCAACATCCTTTTTCATTGATGATGCATGGACATCCAACACCTTGGCATCTACTGCTGGTTTTCCCTTCATTTATCCAATTTGCATTAATACTAACAACAGCAGATCGTAAACAACCTATTAGTCATGCAGTTTTAGAGATACTCGTTCCGAGTCTTTGGACCATTACAATCTGTCCTCTGTCGAATTCGCTTAGATCAGCAGCCTTTCCCATAACTCGCAAAAGTAAGAGCAAGGGGGATTCCTTACCTCCTCCAGCAGCAGTTAAATATCTTTCCCACTTATTCACATGCCCTCCACATCATACAGATGAATTCATTGAAAAATATGGAAATGGTCAAAACGTTTTGGCTCATAGTGTAAATTTGCAGTACTAGTTTCGAAGGTTTAAATATCGAACCTTCTTCAACAGCAGACATGTCAGTGAGGAAAGGAAAGCCTGTTCTCAGGAGATAATGTTTTTTTAACTCATATTTCTTCTACTGCTAAAAAAATAAATATTACTTCATGCAGAAATTGCTTATTTTAAAAAAGTGTTACTTTTAATAATGTTTGACATTTTGTGGATAAGTTCCCATTTGTACTCACAATAAAAGAGGGAAGAATTTATGATATAACATGAAAGGAATTGAAAAAAGAGTTTCGGGGATTTTAATTATTATAAGGTTACAAACATTGATATAAATGCAGTGATTTGTTTTATTGAAAAGATGTATGCAGTAGGTGGGACTTCTAAATATGACAAGATCATGAAACATGATTGCATAGCATTCTCGGAACAAGAAAGGGGAGGGAAGACTTAGTCCTGCTTCTCTGTGACAGAAACAGATTCTGTGAGAATATCTTGATAGTCAAATATAAACGGAGTAGAGACAAAAGCAAAATCAGCTACTGCGACTAGCTATATATATATAAAGAAGAAAGGTCTGTATGTGCGTTTGTTTGCTAATAACTCAGTCAATGCTATAACTATCGTCACCAGACTTTCTATAGTTCTTTTCTGGGTCCTGGGAAAAGTCAATGTCCACTTCCCCCCCCCAAAAGCTAAAATCTAAGATATTAATTAAAAACTCGAGAAAATGATAATTTTTCTGAGTGGCAACAATCTCGCAAGCTGTAGATGAAAATCTGCTTTATTTCGAACGTTGTTGCCACTGCTTCCTTTCAAAATGTAGAGTTTGTAATAAAACATGTATACGTTTTAAGATAAAAGAAAAATAGCGTTGTCAAACATTAAATACATTATTCCTGATTCCAAAAATTCATGGGGAGCCATTTCGACTATTCCCATCTCGGTACAACTTTAATCAGCCAAAATATTAATTAAAACTCTGAAAACATTAGTTTTCATACTCGTTTTTCCAAGTGACAGCAGTTTCGCGCATTAGAGATAAAAATGCTTTCTTTCAAAATGTGTTACTACTGCTCGCTTTCAAATCGTAGAGTTCATTAATAAAAAATTTGTAAATTTTACAAAATTCGTGCATATGAAGAAGAATGTCTGTCTGTGTGTTGTTCGCGTTATTGATTTTTGATCAATTATAATCAACTTTTTGCCACATTTAATTGATTAAAATTGAATATAGGTGAAATATTGAATGGAACTTAAGCTTTTACGACCATTTGATTAGAAAAATGAAAATCATTAAAAATGCCTGCCGTTGTTGCTGATATAATGAGAGAGAATTAGCTTGTTTTAGTATTGAAAATTTTTATGTGGTTTCCATATTGCAGCAGACTGAAAAATGTATGATTATGAATTGTATTTTTTGCATTGTTATTAGAGAAGGATTAAGTGGAATCGTCCTTTCTGTTGTTAGATGCATTATTCTGAATCTGACTTAACTGGTATCGGGTACTTCTGCTAGTGTTAAAATAAATGTGATTTTTCATTTTCTTTAATGGAGTTTTCTTTTTATAATTATATTTCAGATTCATGCACATTTGTTTTCTAAAAAATTTTGCATTCTTCTGAATTTTTACCAGAAATTGTTTAATTTTTGCTATCACAAAGTAGGCAGGTATGCATACAAACAACAATGATTTAGCCACTGTAAAACTGTTCTGCCTGATATGTTAATGTAGGTACCATTTATAAGGTCGCAGTTGTGTGGTCAAGAGTAAGATTTTGATTCGTTATAGATTTAATTAGTGAAGAGTCACTAATAAGGGTACATATATCACTCTGAAGTCTGTTGTACCTTCCATCGATGCCAGTGCTTTCTCAGGATGGGTCCACTTTCAGCGATCTTTTTTAACTGTGAGGTAATGCTTTTCAGTGTACCTACTACTGTGATAACTCGGGTAATATTTTACCCTGCCTCAAACTGTCCAATTGTTCACCCATGATTAAAATTCCTTACAAACTTTCTGCATTTCAGTATATGTCATAACAGCTGAAAATTTAGTGCACTGGCTTCTGAATCACCTGCAGTGGAGTTGTCTGAACTTTTCTGCTTGGAATTTGGAATGATTAAACAGCTTTATTGCATTTCCTTTTAAATATATAGTTTAAGGATCTTGACATCTATGTTTATTTTTTCTCTAATTCTGTGGCAGTCAGAAATATTACTTTGCATAAAGCAGTTGTTTTTTCATAACTCTCAAGCAGTGTATGCATTAATATTGATGATAGATTTTCTCTAATAAAAAATTTTCCAATAAGTGCTTACAGATTTCCTAAAAATATATAAATATATTTAGTGCTTTAGGAAACTTAGCACATAGGCAGAAATATATCTGATATTTGATATGCATTCTAAATTTATTTGCTTAAAAGAAGACAGGAAAAAAAAACAAGAGAGAGAGAACGAGAATCGCATGGTATGAAAATTTTATTGTGTTCTTAATGTTAGAAAGAACTGCAATCTTAAATCTATTTCACACACATAAACAAAGTTAAAAATTGCAAAATCTGCTACTTTTTATGAGATATACATCAAAAATCATTTTATAGATTTTACATGGGAGAGAAAATTGCTTTTTCCCCCCCTTAAAATGAAAATACTTTCCCTTGTTATTTACATTAAAGAATGCAAAATTTTTAATTTGTGTAGTTTTCAGAAATTTGGCTGAGCTTCCTTTTCATTTTAAGTAATTTCATATAGTACTAAGTATTTGGGTGACGGATATTCAAAATAATAAAATTATATGAAGTTTTAAATCACATTAATTTTCAGACACATATGGCTTTATCCATTTTTTGCAGGAATTCTAGTTTTACTGTAATAGACATTGAAACATGCCTTCACTTTGTAAATCCTGCTGTAGTTCCAGAATTACACTAAAAATAAAATAAAATAAAAGTTAAAAAAAAATCTTTTTATTATAATCAAAAATTCAGCCTTCAATTTTCATAAAATTGCGGTAATACTAACAGCCTGCAAAAAATAATAAGTTAGATCAAATCAGAAAATTAAGGAACAGTGTAATCTGCTATATTAACTGAAATTCCTAGGAATCAGTAAAGTGTAATTTTAGCCTCCGCTATTGGCTATGTATCATGAGATTGGTGATGAAAGAGAAGTTGTTCGGCTAAATTTTATCTTGCTTCTATTGTGCACTGAGACAATTAAGCCTGAATTGTATTAGTTATTTTTTATACTTACATATATTTCATACTCATGCTTAAGGCTTATCTGAGTCTTGAATAAATTAATTCCCACATATACTTATTTCTTATCAAGGGCCGGTGATAGATATCTTACGGCCTGATGCAGTGTCTGCGGGTGCTAAATTCTGCTAACAAGCGCCTTCCTAAATTCTAAAAATTTTGTCATCATTTTGTTGCTCGGTATTTCTCTAATTTCCGAAAATTTTGTCTTCCCTAAATCCTGCTGCCCAGTGTGGCCATACAAGCTGTGATGCCAGTTCTGGTTTATGAAAATAACAAATCAGTTATTCTTAATTCAAATAGCACTAAATGTAACCTTTTGGCCTATGAGTATCATTAACAGAATCTATTTTTAGTATATGGAAAGAAATTTTTGCTAATTTTTCCTCGTCAGTATTTCTTAGTACATTTAACTTAAATCTGTAATCATAAAAGGTTACCATACTCTGTTATTTAATAACTAATATAAAAAAATTAAGCATTCCTGCACGAGTCATTAATCAAGTTCATGTGTTGATAAATATGTGATGATGAAAGTAAAATATAATAAATAATGATTTGTGTCAGAGATATAAAATGTTAGTAGGTGTAAATTCAATGATGTTTCTGTGTAGATTGTTTTGGTTTGAGATATATGCCAAGTAGATACACAGCTACAGAGACAAATTATTGATCACACAAATTTATGCTAAAATAATTTTTTCTTTAATAACAAAGTATTTTATTTGGTGCCAAAATGAAATTAAGAATCGGGACTCCATGTGTTTTATTATTGGGGGGGGTGAAATGTGCATACTTAAAGCATATCAAAAACAAAAAAAAAAGTAAAGGTTGTTTGTGGCTTTGAGGTCTGGATTTTAGATCATTCCAGATATTGGACATCAGATCTCGGACTTTGTACTGTATGTATATATATAACATGGTTTATTAAGTCATAATCTCTCAAGATCAGTAACCTTCAACATTTAGAATCTTGCATAATAAATGACTTGTTTACAGTTAAATGAATTTGCTTCAAGTAACTCAAATTTTGACTGTAGTCTAGATATTTATTTTGCTGGTTCTTAAGACTGAAATGTTGGTAGTATTATGTAACTCTTAGCCTAACAAAATTAGATTTAATTTTTGCTGAGAACTCTTTTAGGATATCATCTAATAACTTATTTGTGCTGTCCTGTAGTGAAAGATTCCATCTTATAGTATGACTTTTTATTGTTCTGGTTTATTTATAAATTATTTCAGTGTCAAATACATATTATTATTGCTGATAATTCAGAGACTTGAAAAAAAGTATTTATTACTATATTATTTTGCGTAAAGAGTTGAAAACTGAAATTGTTTACTTTATTTTTATGATAACCTAAAACTACTGTATTTTCAGAGCAAACAGGCATGACATCATGGTTGGATGCATTTTCAAACAAGAAAACTCCTGTTGTTGAAAAAGAGGAAATTAAAAATGATCCAAGTAGCCTTGATAGCAGACTATCAAATTTACTTCAGAATATACCTAATCTACCCTCAAGTTTACAGACATCGCTTTTTGGAAGCACATCATCTGGAAACAATACTCCGTTACAAGATACAAATTCTCCAGTCATTAATAAAAAGGAAAAGCTTCCTGACACATTTTCAAGTGCAGAAGGAACAACTCCAATCAAAGATGAGTATAGTGGGCAAAACACTCCTCTTCAAGATGAAGATACCCATTCAAGTCATGCATTTTTTACCAAGTTAGCTTCCAGCAATAAAACTCACAGTCCAAAAGATATATTAAAAGGTTTGACTAGTTTAATACAGTCGGCATCAGGAGATAAAACAGATGAAAACCACAAAAAAGAAAAGTATGCATTTAATTCCACTGAAGCGTATGACCAAGAAGGGGGTATGTCCTCTTTTATTAAAAAAATAATTCCATCTATTTCTCAGACATCACATCTTACATCTTCACCTTCTACATATTTTAATTCACCTCAGCCACCATCTTCAAGAACTGTACCAGTTGTAACTACTACTAATGTAAATTCATATCAAACATCAACATTTCATGATGTACCGACATACACATCAAAATCTGAGCCCAGCCGAGAAGGTTTGTCATATATCCCTTCACTTGTGCCTTCAACACCACTTGATAATTTTAGTTTTGTCCCTGATGCATTTCCAGACACTGAATACAATCCTGAATTGGAAAATTTTGATACAAATATGGATGTAGAACTTCCTATCAATGACAGTGATCTTGATATACCATCACCTGAAATAGAACCATTGTCTCCAGTACCTGCTTCTTCTGAAAGTGATGTACCTCGATCCATTAGTGGAAGAAGGCTGAGTACTTTGATTACAGTAGTGACTAAAGATTCCCCCGACGACAGTCTTCCAGTGAGTTCTATGTATTCTTCAGATGATATGTACAAAAGTGACAAAGAAAATGTTACAGAAGAATCATCTGCCTGGATTGATAATTCTAGTTGTGTTGAGAAAAGCATTGTTCCTCCTTTACCTGAAGCTACTTTAGGCAAAGTTTCCCCTAATGAAGAATTCTTCATAGGAAAAACGGAACCAACAATACCTCCTTTTTATGCAACAATTCCACCACCTCCAGTAATTGATCATAATGCTCCAAATGGTCAAAGTATGGAATTTTTAACTCCTAACAATACTACAGTTGAGAGTCCACTTTCAAGGATAGAGACTGTGCAATCTCATAGAGAGGATTTAAGCAATGGAAGATGGTTCAACAATAATTGGACTCAAAATGAACGAAGAAATCTTGTACCACCACCGCCGCCACCACCACCTCCACCATTTAATTGTGGTTTACAAGACACTCGCTTTTATGGGAACAAACGTTTTCCTCCTCCACCAAATTTTCATCCAAGAAATAGTAACTGGTCTCCCAGAAATCGACCAGATAATTCATTTCATCATCCATATGGACCACCTCCAAATAAAAGGTTTCCGTTTAGAGGCAGGGGGTGGGGAAGGCAAAGGCATCAGTATAATTAAATGTGAGAGCACTGAGTGTTTTGTTTAGCTCTTATGAATATTTGCATGAAAATAAGCAAACATAATATTGAAAATGTATATGTTCTTCACTGATGATAATACACCAGTGATTAATGATATTTTAAAATTTATCATGAAGCTTTATTTTTCATTCTGTATAGAAATATTATCATTCATCCACAGCTACACTTGAACTGGAAAAAGTGTTTTGTTTCAATGAGGAAAAATTGTTTTTTCCCCCTCCTTTACATTCATCTTTTGATATTACAAGAATTGTTTTTGTTAATGAGATTGAAGGCATATAATTCAGTACTTGTTGTTTGAACTCTACTTTTCAAATATATTCGTGTCTTTTAGGGCTGCTGTTTTGTTCCCAGTGTTCTTAAAAGACATCTTTAAAATAAAAATGTACTATAGCGATGTAATATTTGTTGTTGTTTCATTTCTCTCCCTCAACCTTTTAATCTAAGTTCTAAAGATATATATATATATATACTCAGAAAATGTTATTACTTTAAAGGTTAATCTGTGACTCTGTGAAGATAATAAGACAATGTATCACCCTGTCTTATTTTCTTGGTTAAGTGACTTTCACAAAGAGGAATGTTTAAAATAAATCAGTTTGGCAGCTTAATAGTGCACAACTTGGTAATAATAGAAATTAAACTCTACAGCTTGTGAGAATAACAGAACTTAAAGTAAAGTTTTAAAATATGATATGGACAACACAGAGTATATCTACTAGTTTTGGTTTAGGCTGTCAGCTAACAGGAACAATTATGGCTAGAAGGTTAAGGCCAAACCAAGTAATTTAGGTTCTGGGTGAATATTAGTGAAGCAGTCACTGATGAATACCAAAATCTCTCTCCGTAATTCAAGAACATTGTTCTTTAAAACATTAACTAATTTGCATCTTGATGGGAGCAGATGAAAGTAGAGGTATCACTAAAGGCAAAAATAAATAAAATAACTAGTCAGCTAATATAAAACCCTACAAATGTTTGTTTTTGAATGTATCAAAGTATAGCTAGCTAAGTCAACACAGAAACTAAATAAAGTAATCAGTTAATGCATTTTCAAATCACATCTGGTACTTTTAGCAAGTGTTTAATGATGCTTACATGTTGAATGTATTGCTAATGACATTAATTCTGTGGATCATAAAAGTTATAAATTTATTTCGTTTTAATAAAAAAGTTATTAATTTATACACCTTATGATATAAACTGTGAGAGTAGTTTATTAAAATCAGTTTTTAATATCTAAAATTTTTAGTATCCTATAAAATTTTAAAAATAATAGAAAAATTTTTTTAAAGAAAATTCGTATTAACCAGCAAATTGAATGTAATAAAAGTTATAATCAGTGATATAAAATATTTGCCACAGGCAAACTTTTGAAGGAGTGAATTGGAATTGGAAAAAAAAATAATTTACGCAACATGGAAAATATTGGAAAAATGTAATCCTGATAAATGTGGACCAAAAAAAAGAAATCTCTTTGTGTCTCATACACAAAAGGCTAGCCATGGCTGAAATTAATGAATGACGCAGAATTGCATGTCTTTCTTTACATTACCTTTTGCATTATTTTTTAAATGTTCTGTTTGAAGGGAAGGAAAAAATAAACAGAAACGAAATATTTTTCATACTAAATGCATTTGCTTAAAATAATATGGGTAACTTGTACTGAAATCTGAATTTTTTTTTCCTTAGTCTTCCTTTTAAAGCTAATTTGTTCAGAAAATTTACACTTGCCTCTCCAAATCAAAAACTTGATTATCAGAAAAAGAGAAATTATTCCCTCTCTCTTTGCTTAAAAGAAGATTTATAGAATAAAATAGCTATGAACATCTGAAATAGGATGGTAGTGTTATGCTATATATAGAGTCATTCAAAAAGATGGACCTAATTTAATTACTTTGGATTTCAAGGAGCATAAATTGGACATGAACAATCTAGATACTAATGAAAAGAGGTACCTGCGTACCAAAAACTTGTGTAAAGTGTGTGTACACAGGTTATAAGTGTTCTATGTTCCCTCCTTTGCTGCATGGAAAACATCTAAGCAGTAAGCAAAATCATCTCACATGCAGTAAAACATGTTACTGAGTGCACCGCAGCAGTGATGTGGTTTTGCAGGTCGTCCATAGTTGTTTGTAATGATGGTATATAAACAACCTCATTAGCATATTCCCACTAGAAAAAGTTATCAGGGTATGAGATCTGGAGGTCTCGGTGGCCAGAAGTATAGAGCCAGGTCTTGACTTCTCGTGATTTATCCATCGCTGAGGAAGGGATTGATTTAAAAATCCTCATACATTATGGTGCCAATGGTATGGAGCTCTATCCAGTTAGAAAATGAAGCCATGCCAATCTTCGGTAAAAGCCATTATTCCAACATGTCCCAGTATGTTATTCTACTAACCGTGCTATCTGCAAAAAAGAATGATCCATGCACTTTTATTTGTGATACGACACAGAGCATGTTTAGCTTTGCTGATTCTGTCTCATGTTGCAATGTTGGACAGGGATTAAGCAGACACCGTATGCAAACATTGCCTACGTAGCTTCGTTGCTAAAAATTAAACATGGTTGAAATGTATCATCTTCCATCATTTCTAACATGTCACCACAAAATTCAATGCACTTTTCTTTGTCTATCTCTCTGAGCACGTGCTCAAGTTGTAAGTAATAGGGCTTGTACAGCAAATGTTGTCTCAAAACATGCCATGCATTTGGTTGTGGTATTCGTAGTTCTCTACTAGCTGTATTAGTTGACTTTCTTAGACTACGAACAAAACTATCATGTAATCATCTGAGACATGAGGTCAGTTAGGCACTTTTGATTGCAGTATTAGGCACTTTGGTCTTAATGCATATTTGGTGGTTTAAATTGAGTTAGGGTAGTGGTAGATTATACCCCCTCCCTCGTTATCATTAATACCAGTGCTTCTTTTTGCTGTTTAAAATATTGTTTACTTTCAGAAGTGCTAACCATGAGATGATTCATTATGTTTTGGTAATTAACTTTTGAAAACATACTATTATTTTCATCTTCAGTATTCTGATGCCATTTTAAGGATATAATGTAATATTGCATACATTTGATTATAAATGAATTTAGAGAGAAGATTGCAGATACTAAACATCTATAACATTCCTGCCAAACTAAACCCTTTTATTGCTGAGATGCCTTGGTGATTAAGGAATTGTTTATTATTCTTATAATTACACAAGAAAATTACTAGCTGATAAATATATTGTATTTGTTACAATTTTATGATTGAAGACTATGTTATTAGCTGATTTAAAGTAATTTACTTTTACCACATAAGAGGCATTTTTATTTTATTGTTTTTGATTAGATGTCATAATTTCTATGAATAGAAAAATTTAATTTTTATTGTTAGGAATGAAACAGTTGTTTTATTATGAAAGTAGTTAATCAATTAACTCTGAGTAAGCATATTATGGGAAATCAAATTAGAGTAAGTTTTTAGTTATGCAAGATCCTGTAATCTACTTTTTTTAGAAAGCAAGACATAATGTGCTTTCAAACATTATAATACATTTATTATCTTATGATTCATGCATTTCCCCCTATAGGCAGAAGATAGCTGTCGAGTTGCTTTGTGTTAATCAATTAACCTTTATGTGTATTATATCAGATGCAGAGAAAGGCGATCCACTGATATTTTGATGTGGCAGCTGCATAACTGGAAAAAAAAAATGATTATTTAAAAAAAGTTTTAAATGCTTTATTTTTATTTATTTTCCCTCAACATTAGATGAGCCTTGCATAAAATGCTACTGGGGTAATGTAGGTAATTTTTCTTGAAACTGTTGTATATATCATCTTTATTATAAATGATGCATTAAGGGGAGAAATGTGTTCATGGAAGAATTTCCGAGGGAAACATACATATTTATGTTACACATGCATAAATCTATGAAAAACCCCATTTGCAGGAATTCAAACCTGGCTCAAACTACAAGAATTTAGAAATTGTAACCATTTAGTCTCTAGTGGGTTTATAAGAAGATGGCTTATATATGTTAGAAAGCTAACTGCGTGTATTCCATTTATATGTATTCTTTGAAGCATTAACAGCGGGCCTATGAACATGAATGAGACAAAAATGACTTAACAGTATGCATTATAGATGAGAGAGAATTTTCAGTATAGTGTGAAGTTGGTCCTTGATGTAGAACGGATAATAACCCCAGTCAAATATTTACGAGGGTTATCCAGAAAGTAGATTACGTTTTGGAATAAAAAAATAAACAAAGTATAGGAAACAAATTTTATTATATACAGATGAAAGCCACACTCAAATACTACTTTTCTACATAGTCACCATACAAATTAAGGCATTTATCGTAGCGATGTACGAGCTTGGAAATTCCTTCATCGAAAAATTCGGCCGCCTGCGCCTTCAACCACTTCGTTACCTCTTTTTGCAGCTGTGCGTCGTCATCAAAACGCTGCATAGCCAGCCACTTCTTCATTGCTGGGAATAGGTGGAAGTCGCTCGGTGCCAGGTCGGGACTGTACGGCGGATGAGGAAACAACTCCCACTTAAAAGATTCAAGAACTTTACGAGTGACATTTGCCGTGTGGGGCCGGGCGTTGTCGTGAATCAACAAGATCTTAGAGCTCAACATTCCTCTGCGCTTGTTTTGAATTGCTCTTCTGAGTTTTTTGGAGAGTTTGGCAATACCTTTGAGAGTTTATTTTGTAGTGCCTCTTTCCAGGAAGTCCACCAAAATTACACCTTTTCTGTCCCAAAAAACAGTCGCCATCATCTTCCTTGCCGACATTGTTTGCATGCATTTCTTGGGTTTTTGGGGAGAACTTGTGTGGCCCCCACTGCATTGATTGCAATTTCGTTTCACAGTTCACATGTTTCACCCATGTTTCGTCACCAGTAACGATGCGATCGAGAGAGTAAGAGTAAAGAGTCACCATCCTTATGGTAAGCGTCCAAAAAGTTCAACGCTGCAGCCATTCGCTGATTTTTGTGGTCCTCTGTCAAGATTTTTGGAATCCATCTTGCACAAAACTTGTGGTAACCAAGCTTTTCGCTGATGATTTCGTGCAACAGACTTCGCGAAATTTGTGGAAAACTCAAAGAAAGTTCCGTTATTGTGAAATTTCGATTTTCACGGACTTTAGCATCGACTTTTTCGAGAAGTTCGGCGGTCACTATGCTGGGTCTCCCACTTCGATCTTCGTCGTGAACATTGGTTCGGCCATTTTGAAATCTTATGACCCACTGACGCACTCCACCTTCAGTGATAATGTTGTCCCCATACACTTCACGAAGCTGCCGATAGATTTCTATCGGTTTACAGTTTTTTGCAGTCAGAAACCTTATTACTGAGCGCACCTCGCAGCTCGCGGGATTTTCAATTAACGCAGA